TAGGGTTTTCTTTGGGGACCCTGCCCGGAGCCGATGACTCAATAGTCTGACCTGCTCGGCTGCAGGGGGTTGGCCTAACCCGAGGGCGCAGGGAATAAGGCACTACTGTCTCATTCCTGATGCGGCTTCGCACAGCATGTATGAAGGGTTTTCCTGGACCGTTAGAACGGCTCTCGCCCTGTGTGTCAGATTTCTGCTGATGATGATCAACAATGCGAGAGAAACTGCAGTTTAGAACCCCCGTGCTTTGGTGTGTGCTAAACAGATTAGCAGTGACATCACACGGGGAGGATTGTTCAAAGAAAAAATTGTGAGAACAATCTGGTATCACCAGCAGAATGTCTATATTCCATTGCTGTTTGACCGATATCGTTCATTTGCTATAAACTATGCAGTCTTCTCGAGCTCAGTTTTTGGTGAGAACGTTAGAGGGTTGTGGGTATAATAATTCCAAACACTCTTGAACCCCCTCCTGCTTGTGACTCAGTACAGCCACCTCGAGATAGACTACCACCAACTAACAATGCTCCGGCGCGCTCCTGAAACATTCACATCGAGCTTGCAATCGTTTGAGAAACCAAAACCTAACAGTCGCCATGGAAGAGATTACCCTCCAAACAGGGGGCGAGATGGCCGAGTGGTTAGAGCGCGAATTTACTGACCGGAAGGTCCGTGCTTCGAACCTGGCCTCCATCTATCAACTTCCCCTGTCTAGGCTTGGGCAACCTGGCAGTATCCCTGTCCTCGTGCTTCCTTCGGATGGCATGGCAGCTAGGCGCTGAAAGGGTGCTATAGCTGAATAAACAAACAGTGATCATGATGGCAGAATCAAGTACTGGATTTTCCTGAATCCAGTTATTCAAGGATGACGCAAAACGACATGTTTTCTGTGGAGTTCATGATGAAAAGATTGAGAAGATGGTGTACCTCGGCTGCACCACACACAATAATAAATACATTCTGCAGGATAGTTTTCATCAGACGTCCCTGAAAGATCTGATCCAGTGTTACCCACTATTTTGGAGCTCAAGCGCCGACCGGCTCAACCGAAAAGCCAGCCATCTTAAGCATGCTAACACCGATGTCCTCACCATGAAGCATAACGGCTCTTTGGATGAGCGCGAAAGCTACCTACAGGGCCCAAGCCCCCTTTGACTAGGAGCAATCCGACCATCTTTGAAACGGTACAAGTATATTCATTTGCATATGGCAGGTCATAATGGTTTCGGAACATATTTTGTCCATGTGGGTTTGACCTAAGTTGATTTTTTATCAGAGACACAGGCCACCAGTTTGCTTCAAGCAACCACCACTGTTTCAATCAATATGTTATTTGAGGAGGCAAATAGTCAGCCCTAGCCCAGACATCATTTTGCTGAGCCAGGCCTCCAATGTAGCGAGTAGTACCGTCATATGATCAGTATCACACGGCATAGGTGATGTATATCTAGTCTATATATATATATATATATGAAAATCACCAGCGGTGTGACTAACGTATCCGTCCATCATGCACATTGCAGGATTCGCCCACTTGTTGTGGTAATCATGGGTCGTTGGCTGGACATGCTAGTTGGTTTCAAGCTGACTACGTTTTGTCCAGAGTCGTATCCACTCGATTGTACACGGGTAGAAATCTCGTTTGGCCCCAAATTTCTGCTTAGGAACCCGATGATACATTCGGATACATTATCTGGTGCAAGCCAGCGTCGTGGAGTTAAGAAACATCATCATCATCAAGGACAGTAAGATCAGTGTTAGCAATGATGCTTTACTTTCGTACAACCATGAGGTTCGTCTATATATATATATATATATATATGAAAATCACCAGCGGTGTGACTAACGTATCCGTCCATCATGCACATTGCAGGATTCGCCCACTTGTTGTGGTAATCATGGGTCGTTGGCTGGACATGCTAGTTGGTTTCAAGCTGACTACGTTTTGTCCAGAGTCGTATCCACTCGATTGTACACGGGTAGACGAGTGCTTGGCTAGAGACTCGGCTCAAATTGCATTTGCTATATAGTATGGGTCTTTTGACATGGTTTACTGCAGTGGACAAATCGGAAGACGGCTTCCAGTCAGCCACACATATCCAGATTATACTCTATGTACTATTATAAGTCGGTCTGCTCAGGAGCCCATTGGATGCTTCTCCAGCGTGCTAGGCTCTACTTATGGTCTAAGTATACATGCATAACTCTACTGAATATATCAAAGGCAAACAAATGCATCACGAAGCACCTGAAGCTTAAAGCGAGTCTTCGTTGCTGTTGCAGGCTTTAAGTAAGCGGTGATGGAGAATGATGCTGGTCCATTTGGATTCCAAAAGGTCTCTTCATAAACGGATGAAAGTGTAATGTCACGATAATACTCGGTTATAGCTTCATTTTTGGTTGTATTTTTATTTAAGAGTAAAGTATGTCTAATCTTATTTGCCCGTACGGTGGATAAAAATTTTCGTAAGAGTAATGTGTGCGTCGATTGTCATTATAGTTGAGACATGATTGTACTTTGTTCCCCGATTTGAAGTTCAACTTCACGGAGTACTGAACGAAAATAGAGTAAACACCAAATAACCGACTCGGATAGGGACACTAAAGCATTTTTAAGGGCGGTTTCACTGACTTACCTTGCTATAGCCAAGCACATAATAGACCACCAGACAGGCGATGCCAAACAAAATCAGTACAACTGAGAGCACTGCAATTACCAAATAGCATTTTGTGAAATCGATGCACGTCGTCATGGCGAACACAGTAACGATGAGGCAGGTAACCGCCGTTACACCCACAGCTGACAACACTGAGAGAGTTCCATAGTTGCAACTAATAACTCCGGCGAAGTAAGCCATCACTAGCGTCTGTTGACAAGGAAGGGAATAGTTTGAAATGAAACTAGTTGTGACATACACTTGAGTGGCATGGGAAATGAGTTCACATTGAAAAACTAGTTTTCTAGGGGACGGGTTAGCAGCATCCAATTCTTTCACTCCACGTCTCAGTTCCTCCCAGCTGAGAGGCTGCGACGGTTGGTACGACCATGTTCGTACCTTATTTAGCAGACCCGATTTTCCCCTTTCTCGGGGAAAAAACTGACCGTGCTGAACACGTACAGTTGGGTATACTATGTGATTTCTAACAACTTCTGAGATGTAGTGGAAACATCAGAAATCACACGATGAGTTCATTTGATTAAACGTCTTTACAATTGACCAAGGGTAGCCTCTCCAAAGAACGTATTTGGTCACAATCGATATTGCAGTATACCGCCATCAACTGCTGGTTGACTCGCGGCCAACCAGCCTAACAAAACGTTCAGAAGCCAAGACTATATTCTTGATGTTTTTTTCTGTTTGTCCTTCCCTTCGTCTTATTTAGTCGACTATACGCCAACAAACTACGAGCGTCAGTAAGGATTCTAGTGACAAATCTTATAGCTTATATACTCTGCGTGCTGTTAGTTCCAAATTTTGACCTTAGCTTTTGTGTGAACACCCCACCAACCTCTGGTAGAATTCAATTCACAAGTGGCTTTTTATTCGATTCAATTAAGTTTTACTGGTCCCATGTAAGCAGAAATAACCTAAGAAAACGAGGAATAAATCAACTTGCAAGAAGCGCCAGAGCAATGTAGTTTCCTGGAAATGTTCTTCGCACTCGCGGACAGCAAGCCAGGACAAAGTAGGTGATGAAGAATAGACCACTAAAATCGGATTTGGAAATGAGCCGCCAGAGGTGATTTTTGACAACCTACAGGGATGCATGGAATAGAATGGGATTCCTTCGAACAAACTTGGAAATTTCTGGTCTAGGAAAAACTTTTATTAAACCACAAGTTACCTACATATACATGAAGAGCGCAACAACGCCGGCCGTTATTGTCAGTTGGGCGAACAGTATCAGATACACCTGAAAAGAGGTTGGGCTAAACAGATTTGGTTTATAAAAACGAAGTTAACATGAAGATCAGTTGCTACAGCTTTACAAGCCCTACAATTCTACAATTAACCTAAAATTCGCGTTTTTGCCTACGTGATTCCAGCGAGAGCTTAAGGAAAGCCCAACTTATTAGGACTTTCCAACCTTTTTGAACTCCAGTAAAGCTTTCGAGTTAGGCAACAGGGTCACAATGCATCGTTCTAATATATCTTGGTTGACCACATAGCTCTTAACCCAATAGGAACTTCTCACAATCAGATAGAAGACCAAGTATAAAGCCGTGTAACTGACTCTGCCGAGTTCGAGATAGAAAAGAGAAAGAAACTCATCATCACTGATGCGAGGTGCTCATGAACCAAAATAGTGTTCCGTCAGTTGGTTCAATTTCAGTTCCACATTTCAAAACGAACTCACATCTACTGACTTGCGCCCTTTGTGCAGTGGGTTCTTGCCTCGGCTTAAACGCGAATTTCATACGGCACTTGTTTACTACCCACTTACACTGGGGGTTCAACATAGCAAGTGTTTGTGGGACAACATGCCATGAGAATTTCTGTGAACTTGTCTGCAAACCTCTCGAAGGCCTAGAGCCTGATGGTGAACTGAACACGCTACTTATGTAGACCGGCACCAAATTAGGTAATCTTGAGTAACGAGCCCAAAGCAGACATCACTTGCACAAAAGTATCAGGTCTGAGGGTACATAGCTTATGTGCAGACTTGACTGATGTATAGCGGCAAAGCTGAGACAACTTACAGACAAAATGTTTGGTTACTTGAGTTACTTAACTTGTAGTATCTACAGGAAATATTCTTCATCAAGATATCTGACATTTGAAGCCCGGACACCAGCTGGCTGGAGATCAGTCCGAAGTGTAATCTGATTTTTTTCCGATTAGGTTACAAATGGCTGACACTGGCATCCGAAGAGGGCTTGTTGACTGTCAGCTGAAGAATGGATTTTGAACTCACTGACACCGTTAATTCTGTCTATTAGGTTTGATTATCTCTGATTCCCACTTTAGATTTCGAAAAGAGCTACCACCGTATAGGAAAGTCTAAATAATGACTTTTTACACTTCGACAGACCACTCGTCTAAGTCCTTCTCAAATAAAGTGAGCCATGTGGTAGAGCCTCACCTCTTTCAGTGATACCATGGCCATATGAAATTGTACGAAACAGGGAATCATATACTTCAGTAGGACTGGCCATCTGAACCAGTACAACTATCATGTTGCATTTTCTGATCTACCCGCAAATGATTATTCTACGGATGACACTCATAATCCATGTGGTCAATGTCTTACCGCCAGTCTATCCATTAGTACCTTGAAGTTGCGCACATAGATTCACCCGAGAACCCTGATACGACAATACAAAAACGATGCCAATTTATTCCGCTGATACTTAACACATTTGACGTTAGCACTACCGTGTAAGGGAGTGCTCAATGCTCCTTGGTTTGCCATTATTACGTTTATGCCAGCTAGCGACTTGTAACAGGTTTTGGCTTGCTGTTCGTCGAGGTTATTGCCTCTGATATATATTGGCAATCTACCGTGGGTGCTGAACCCAGCCAGGCTGGATGCCATACTGAAAACTTTCTGTCTTTTGCGATAGGTTGTTTCCTGACTGCCAACTGCACTCAAGTGCAGACTGTTGTGAAATCCGTTCAATAAACCCACACTCCTAGAGGGAAATATTGTGCCTTCGTCCTGGAAAATCAATAAAAACTGTATATCGCCTCTTTCTTCTTGCAATTTCTTACCTAGCTAATCTATATGGAAACAAAATAACTTCGTGGTTCAAGGCCTGTGGCTTCGCAGAAGTAACACTTCAAAGAACAGTGCGATTTCCTCATGTGGGTTCTTTGGAAATGCAATGAAATACGGTGGAAATACGCTTTTAGGAGCTGACTCAGTGTTCCGTTTTGACAATTTGTTACTTCCCCCAAAATGAAATGCTCATGGGGCCGATTGACAGTATTTTTAGTCCGGCTGATTGACATAATTGCCAATTCAACATAACTGTTAAAGTGCCTTCGGTTCGTTGATCATTTCTAAGTGAAATTTGTCCATTCTTTTAGCGTCCACTGCTTAGCTGAGCGCGTCTGAAACAACTATTTCAAATAGATAGCACACCTGAAACGCTTCGTAAGGTTGACTGCCCACTCCAATTCCTCACTCTCAACTGCCTCCAGAGCTCTGTCTTCCAGTCATGTGATGAATCGTTCACGGATTTCTTGGCCGCGCGAAAAACAATACATAAAACAACTCGCCCGACCATGAGTCTAATATATTAGTTGTTAGCTCACACTTTCATTCGACGGGATCGTCATGCCTCTTAAACTGGAGCAGCCAGCCGATACTGGCATCGCAAATGGTCTGAAACTACTTTTTCACCCTTGATGTACGGTTTCTCGGTATATCTCTTGATCTGTAATTTTTGTTCGTCAACCCAAATGACAGGTTTGGTGCGTCCATTATTTTCAGGAGCATGTTCGTTCCAGGTTAACAGCTTCACTTCCACTGAGCTGAACTATCCTCTCTTCTCCTTTGATGGTCATGAGCGTCTACTTCTTCATGGTCTAGTCACCAGGAGATCTGGAACAGTAAAATCGAAGTAATAACCACTGTCTAATTTTCATTCAGTGACAAAACATGCCAGCAATTTGGGGTAGTTCCTTCATGAGATCTTAGGTCTGTTCCAGCACTAGGATTTTATCACATCACTCTATCCCCTGCACAAATGGCTCCTATGAGGACTTCTGGAAATCATTGATAGATTGCTGATAAGTGAACAAATCACTAGTCAACTCGCTAACGTTCAATACCCATCGTGACTTTATCAAGTTCATCTGCTGCTTCGAGTGATCGAGGTCTTATGTTGTCAACTGATAATGTCTGTAGATATGCCAAAAGACCTACTGACTGGACTGAAACTATAAGATTCTTGGAAATATGCCTTGTTCCTCTCGATTGTTTGATTTCTATTTACTGCAGTATAACAGAGACTTACCTTGCGAATGAACGCATTTCGTATCTCCACATCGTCGAAACCGGCTGAGGAAAAACTGTCAGCCGTTTGTTTTGGGCGTAGTGCGAATATATTTCCTGTGGAATCCAAAGTAGCGTAAATAATGCGTTCCAATCGTGTCATCTTCCTGGAACATATTGAACTAAAAAGTGGGTGATGGAACTAGCACACCCGGTCATAGGTTTCAAATGAGTTTCGGGTATTTGGATAGTGTGCTGGCGGTCAGGTAAAGTGTTGGGTGATCTGGTCATGCAGTATTTTGAGCCAAACCTTTCTAATCCATTCTTCCTCAGGGAAGGGCAAAATCTCTGCTTCCGTAAATTTCAACATGCTTACCACCTGCTTTCGTCTTCCTACCGCAGAGGACATTACAACTTTACTTCCAGACCGCCTAGCGTTACGTTTTATCGTAGTACGGGAACTCGCTGCTCTTCGTTTGGCTTCTCCCCTTTGACATGGTTGCAGCTCGTGGATCGTCCAGCGAAGCCAGTGCGATCGCTTTAACACTGAAGCAGGACCACCACGTTAAGGTGACAGCTGTTGATCCGTTTGGTGATTCATACTCATGAAGAAGCATGCACTAGACTACTTTTTCAGTAACAGACGACTCTGCTTTACACTTATCAGTTGTAACAATTCCACGTTCAGTGCTTTGTACCACTCGGATCCTGTACGAGGAATCTGGCTGTTTACTAGCAGTCTGACAGATTTCAATGCATATGCCAAACGAAGATAAACCCCAGATATCCAGACCAATGTACCACTTTAATAGCAGTATAAGCTCAAAAATGTTGCTAGTTGGTGGCTAGCCAAGTTAGCTGCACGCCATCCACACTAACGGTCCATTCGCATTATACCTTCATCTACGGGGTATCAAAACAGTCATTTCATTCCAAATTAGTCTGATTTTGTTGTCTGTAGGGTAGGTAACATTAGTGGAATAAACATGCACTAATCCGGTAATTCTGTCTAGGCAAGACCTCCATGGAGAACATCTATCTGGCTTCCCCTGGCAATCATACTTCGGGAGAGAGCTGGATTTTGGTGGGCTCAATAGTACACTATAGAGCCATCTAGAGTCGTACTTTGGTTTTGCATAGTCTATCGGGCCTCTGATCCGCATCTTCAATGATCCCGAGCTCACTTTCAGTTCGCTCATTTACCTTTTTGTGAGCTCTACTTTTAATTCAGTCTATCTGTGGAGGGCGCATCTATCGACATTTCCTCTATAATCGCCACATTCTTTATCTACCTACTGTACTGAAGATCAGTCAGAATTGCTTCCTAATGAATTGTAAGTCGGAAGCAGTAAATTCAGCCATGGGTCATTGGTTGTCTCATTCCGCACTGAGTAAAATATGTAGTCTCCTTATCACAGTTATTAGAACCTTAGTTATCACCCTTTCAATTCCTTCAGTTTTCTCTACCTTAACTGAATATTAGTTTCAAAAAGACTGTTGAACTCTGGTTTACCTAATAATACATAGTATTTCTTCACTGGTTTCGATCATGATTGGTAATTCACTCAATAAATCCCAAATCACCTTAGGACACGAACACTGCCATAGACATGGTTGTCGCTAGAAATAGTGCTTGAATCGAGCTAACAAAAAGCTGAAAATGTTGTCGGAGGAAAGAATAATGGCTTGGTCTTATCAGGTACAGTGCGTTGCTGCTGGTCTTCCTCGGGCAAGGGTATTTTCTAAATTGAAGAATGTTTCAGCGGTTATCGTTTTCCAGCTACGGCTTTAACGGCTCAAGCGTTACGCGTGGTTTTCTTCATTGTTCATTTTGGTATTCTCTTGCTGCATTTTTTCTTTATTTTGTGATGTAGTTTTTCGTACACAAAGAGTTGTGATGTTCTTCCCAGACTATCATTGTTGTGACTCTCGAATAATGGTGTAAAGAAAATAACTCCACGTTTTTCTCCAACGAAGACGTCAGCTGGCTCTTGATCCCCTAGGGCATGGAGAAGTTTGTCACTCTAGTGGTGCGCCATTGATACATCTATAAGCCAGGAGTACCAGCTTGGAGTAATGGCACATTCCCTGTCCTCCTCTGTCTAACTAGGAGAATGGCAGATAGGTCGGTGGCGTAGATTACTGCTATCAGGCAAGTTTATTGAGATGCTCTGGTACATAATGTTGGTCTCAATTGGGCGGTAAGTATTTAAAAGAATAGAAACACCCCCTGGACACTAGAAACCTGGTGAATCTCAGGCGTTTCCTGAGGTCTAACCAGATCCCTGGAAATGGACTTATTGTCTCTCAGTGGTTCTATCAGTGTGTCATTTCGGTAACGGTTTTAATCGACGACAACCATATGGCTTTCGCATCGATGGAGATAAGCGTCAACCTTTGCTTTGCCTATTTATGGCTTTTTAACGGATTTTGTATACTTTTCAAAATAGATGAAAGTACATCAGATGGCTAGCTCACGAGGATCCACATTAAACCATGACGAGCCAACCGTGACATAACGCTTGCATACACTTGGTCTCAATTTTCTGCTGCTGCATTCACAAGATGACGACAGCCGCAAGGCTGTGCTTAATATAGAGTTCAATTTATCATTACCAGTCGTAAAGACCGCGCAGTTACCACACAGACCGATTTGTAGAGCTTCCTGGATTGAGGGAGGCCACTCACTGCAAAATGAAAAAGTATGGTGCATTGGACTGTGAGTGAGATCTAGCGAGCTGTCATGAAGCCCTCTCGATGTGATCTCTTGGAGGATTACTACAAATACAGAACGAGATTATGGAAATAAAACAGTAAAAGTAACATTGTATTCAATCGTTTCAATGGGAACGGTGCGGATGAACTTACTGTATGACCCATGTTGCTGTTGCTGTTCATAGCCTTGTGGATACGATGGTGAACTGTGTGGCTGCTGCCAATAAAGTTGCTGTGAGTAGGCGGGTTGCTGAGGATAGAATTGTGGAGGTATCTGAACCTGACCTGGATAGGCCTGCTGTGGCATACCATATTGTCCAGGAGAATACGGGTCTAGAAAAATTGAAACAAATCTTACACAGTATCCAGAAATAAACAGCGCATCAGAGTGTTAAGGCCAAAATCCAAAACAATCTCTGGATAAATTTCATGCCGATTTGCTATTTCGATTCCAGTGCACCGAATCGAGGGAAAACATGTGTGTGATAAGAACCATACATCTGAGGAAATCGCGACGACAAAAACAGCTCTTTCCATGAACATGTGTCCATCCAGCACACTTGTGTCTATTACGGAATCTTAAACGTGTTAGTTCAACGTTTTGAACAGGATATCCACTTAGCCTACCAATAGAATTCCAACGGCTTAACTGTACTACCAGATCATTAGGGCCGCATATCAATTCTGTTGCTTTCAGAAGAAAAAAATAATCGATCGAGCTCCCATTGTTCAACGACCAGGCAAATTAAAAGACAGGAAACACGGAAATCCCTGATCTAGACAAAGAAAGGTGAACCCTGGTTTGGTAAGGCTCATCGATCACGACCTGAAAGCATTAACATAGTGCTTTTCGAAGTCTACCCTTTAAAAGGGAGACCACGACGAAATTAGCATTTTGCCAACCCTTTCTGAAGAGTGATCTTTCTTTAGGGGTAATATCACTTTTGTAAGTAGTTAAAGTAGTGTGCTAACATTGTGAGAGCTCCTAATAATGATTCGGACACAACGATTAGATCTTTCTGGGTGGATCTGTATGCTGATATAATTGGACTGCAACTCATATTGGATATTTCTGATTTAATTTTTGTTTGAACGAAAACTACTTGAATTATTCGGTATCCCGAACGGTGTCTGTGGACTTCAATGATGATCTACTGCTTATTTTGATATCTATTTGGATTCGAATTCAGCTTCCAAATGCAACTTCCTTTTAGTACAGATGTCACAGCTCAAAGTCTGTGCATGATAGTGATCAGAACCCGCAGTATCTTGCACAAACTTTCAAGTTATCCCCCTGTAGGTACTACCTGATAATCAGCTTCTTGCTGAGATGCATGTGACCTCAGTTTAATGTCGCCAGTAATTTATGACACAAGATCTTCGTCTTAATCAGGCTCAGACTATGTAGTGATGGGTATGATGTGCAAAAGTCTACCCTGACTTTAAAGAATATCTTATTGTAATCCGTTTTGATACACTCGATAACAGGCGCTTTCGTGATGTAGCGAGATTTCCTTGATTGCGTCATGTAAGCGCACAGTAGTATCGTTGATAGTTCGAGTTTTATTATTGACACTACTACGAATACTCTCTCTACTATACTATCTGTTGGGAAACTTAGTGAGTGCGCTGGGTTGACCAGAATACGCCACACATTTGATCGGTCCGACTTAGGCCTCTAATTCGTGGCTGGACCACGTGACGGCGAGTGTACATTAAGCGCCTTAACATGAAGCATGTTACCAGCTGAAAGCTGGTAGACGCTCCATTATGCGTGCATGACCATTTTGCGGTTTCTAAATGCTTGCATGCGTTCCACCGCTTGCCTGATAGCCATTTAAACCCACTTATTTCAGTACCAGTACAAACGTGTCGCGAGTTCAGGGTGCTAATTAGGGTGCCTACTGTTGTATAGCAGCTGTCGGCTTACATAGCACTAGCTTTGTGCTATGCAGACCACCAAATGGATCGCTGCCTCGGCAAGCACCAGAAAACGCGGGTTTGTGGAAGGATGAGGGCACCAAAGATTACATGACGTTCCGTAGCAAAGCACTAAAGCGTGTCATGACCAGAAATTCAAAAAAGAGGACGCGATGGATGATCTTTCCAACTACCATCTGCCTTTGGCTATCTGCAAAGTTTGCAGTCGAGGAAAGCACGAAGTCAAAGAAACTGACCGAAAATCTTTCGTTCCATGTTGGAGTTCATCTGTTCGTTAAGCTACGGACGAACGATTCCAAATTCTTCGGAAACTGGATTTGCTACTAGGAGAGGCGTTTCTTTATTCTAACATTCAATAATTCACGACAAACGAACCTTCCATCTGAGAAGTCGTCACACCAAGAGCCACCAAACACGTGACCACGTGATGTTGGTTCCGTGATTGAACGATGATTAGCACCATATCTTTCTCAAGTGTTGGTCCCACTGCCCGCGATCAACAGTTTAGTCATTAATCAACCGGAAACCTACGGGTTCGAATCGCCCCGAAAATCGATGAGGTGTGCACTGCGGATATTGCTTACTGCAAGTGGGACAGCTGTAAATACTATCGGCACTTAAAGAATGAAGTCACAAATTAAATTTCAAAACCTAATGCTACCAACGATAGATTTGTGCTTCAAGTAGCCTGAACGACGATACCTGACAAGATTATATTGAAATTCCTAAAAGATCTTACGAAGGTAGCACACGGCTTCGAGGCTATGTATTACCGTGCTACTCCATAGGGGATATGATATCAAAAAAAGGTTATAGTGCGTACAAAACTCGTAAGCAGCGCGTTAACTTGCCTTTGTATGTCTTCATTCTCCCGCCATGTGTCGTCTGAAAGCGTGTACGACGCTGCATCCTATCTATATATCCCTCTCAGTTTTCAGTGGACCCCCAACAAATGCCTGGATGCTGTTTGAGTCTCTTATCAAACTCCAAATGACTAAGTGAGTGAAAGGAAGTTTGGTAAGTATTGGTTTACGTGTTTTTGAACTACAAATCCGAGCTAACCGAGATCGAAGGACTGAACAGACACAATACGACCGTGGTCATTTTTGGCCAGCCAGAACTAGACGACAATTTAAGCTTAACCATTTTTCCGATTATTGGTTTTGCTTAAATAAAGAATTAATCTTTCTGCTGTAACAAGGCTACGTTATCGAAGCCCAGGCAAAAACGGTCTAGATGCCAGGTTTGCGCCGGAACCAGGGACATTTCACGCATTCAGTTCGTGACATAAAAACAGAAATCTCGCGAAACCTGGTTTTACTTACTATACCGGTAACAACTATCTAAAGGTATATGTCATAATTTTGACTGTGATACGTGACAGCTCGATTTCTGATTAGCGTAGCCAGTAAGTCTTCAATAACCATGAAATATGGCCTATTCAAACATCCGTAACCACACTTACAGTGTTTTTGTTGAAGGTAGTTGAGGCCAATATCATCCGGCTTGAAGGCATCAGAAATTGTGCACTTCCCACTTCAATCGCAGAATATCGATTAGGCGTTGACTTCTGTGTCAGGTTGCCGGGTTTATTTAATAACCTTCGGAAGAACAATAGAGGCAGAAATTCTGCGACGGTTCCGAATCCGCCGCTTACACTAGCTGGCTTACGTGATCAGTAAAGATAATCACAAGCAGCCTGTCTACCTAAGCCCGCTGTATCATAACTAAGAGCAAAATTCGTGATATACGATCATGTTTGGATACGTCGTCGAAGATGTTTAGGGAGTTAAAACAAACGAGAGACAAAAGCTTCACTTTTTTGCTTGGTCCGCATGTTCTGGACGGCTGCTGTTGACGTTTACATTAGTGCCACTGATGGTTGGTTTGTGCAATATGCTGAAAAAATGTGGTATAGATACACCACATGGAGCCCGTCTGACATGAGGTCTACCACACATTACTTATTTCAAAGCTGCAAAAGATGATACTGATGGGCGTCAAAATTAAGGCGATAGTGGAAGCGTCATCAGAACAACAAGAAAGCAGATGAGTGCTGTTTTCTGTGTGGTCCACACGCAAGTGACAGCA